TTTTCTCTCCAAGGATACACCTTGGGAATGCCGAAATTCAAAATGTTTAGAACAGAATCAGCTAACCGCTTTGTGTGGAGTCCGGGCAAGCTCTGGTTGCAGCCATGATGTTTGTTTTTATTATTAGAGGACGTTTACGCGCGTAATCATTTTATATTTGGAATTCGCATATTCTAATATGATAGGATGAAAATACCCCGTAAAATACCGCAAAATACGGCACGCTGTAACTTATGGCGTTACGGTGACAGATGTATAATAATGTGTATTATATTGCACATACCGGGGTAGTTATCGGCATATATGCTCGCTATCATACACACACCACTTAAAGCAATGGAACTCTGATAAAACAATAGTCGGTTTACTCCTTTCTGATTGGCAATAACTCCAGCGAGTAGGCGGCCAATAGTCTGACTGATACCCATTACAGCAATTAATGACGCAGCCGGCATGGGAGCAATCCCAAACTCCCTTGCTCGTTTTACCTGAAAATATATTTCAATTTCAAATCATTCAACACATTGGTTAAAAAAAAAATATTCTACTATTATATTCTTAGAAAACAAACTATATTACAACTTGATTTAGATTTTATAAAAACAATCTACCTACCACGTGACCTTTCATAATCATGAACCCAACCCACGATAGAAAAATACTTAGTTGAAGTAAACAGAATTGGTATAATTTCCACAGTGAAAAACAATATATTCCGTCGAAGAAAGTGTAGATTTTATTTGCCGTACACCGCTTTGATACAACCTCGGTTGTCCGCTCACTTGACGGCGATGATGTGTCTGTATTGCAATTTAGCTTGTCCTCACTATTTCTGCATTGTTGCCGTTCTCCTAGCATTGTAATATTCTCCGCGGTTTTGCATCCATTCAACGGTCTAAACGTCACTCCTGCAACACAGAGGTTCAGCGCCATCCCACTCAGTACTATCAACGTACCCCTCCATCCGTACGTGTCTAACAGTGATTGTGTCACAACAGAAAATAAAAACATTCCAAAGCCACTGCCAGATAAAGCTATACCAGTGGCTATGGGTAATTTCTTGTTGAAATATTTACTGACCATGTGCATTGAAGGTAAATGGGCGCAGCCATAACCAAGTCCTAAATAAATGAAACCATAAATATATATATAGAATACACCTGACATGTGACAGCAATGAATTTTAATTATGAATATTTTATTAATACTATAGTAGTAAAATAGTACTGTTCCTAGTCCTGACTACTGATTAAACTACAGCAAATTGGAGCACCAAGAAATATACAACCTATCAAATATCACACTTTTAATATTTGTCTCGTGACCGTGCTGGAACACACAACACAAAATAATTACATTTATAATTATAATTAAATTTAGATAAAATTTTTCTTTTATCTACAACATAGGAAATACCAGCAGTTAACACTTTTTGGAATTGTCACAGCTATGTTGTGTCATGACAGCAGTACCGTGTTACAGCAGTAATGAACAGCAGTAATGAACACACAACATAATTTATGTAAACATATTACAAATGTGATTGGTTTATGTATTGAAATTTGATCTTACCAGCCATTACGCCGAAAGTAATATACATCTGATTTAGACTTGTAGAAAACGAACTTAATATCAACGATATTGACGCAAAGACGCCACCACATACAACTACAGGGCGATGACCAACACGATCTGAGAGTGCACCAGTATAGGGATTCACAAGAACCAATACAATATACGTCAATGATCCAACTAGAGCTAATTTGAAAGTACAATATATTTGGAATGTAAGTTGATTCCCCGATTCGCATTACACATTCTCTTTTGCAAAGAATCCATTATGTGAAAAAAAGCTTGTTTACAGTGTGGTTATCGTTTTGAACCGTGCTCTTCCATCGATATTACCGAATACTGATTTACAGAGCTATACTGCGTTATTTTATATAACGATTGACTATAAAAACAAAAACGTTGCTGTGCATTACGTCACCAGAGGGCGCAATTGATTGAAAGGTGCATTGATAAGTTGACCCGCATCAAAGAACTGCCTCGCAACATGAAATAAATCAGTATAACTTTAAAACTACAAATAATGTTGACAATGTATTAACTTTGTATGACTTAGTTTATAAATTTATAAATTTTGGTAATTCTGACAATAGAATAATACAACTTGCATAACGAGAACTCACTCACCTGTTTTAGCCCTAGATTCTCCGAAAGCGTCCAATAACGCCACATAAATGACACCAAATGACATTATGAAACCAGAGACTAGTGTGTATACAATGAATGTTCCTGCTACTACTAGCCATCCCCATCCTCCGTCTGGGGGTTTTGCAGACGTGTACATACCCTTCCCGTACGTACAAAACTCCGTATCTGGAGATCAAACTAATGGAAAAGGGGGTTGTTATTCAATGTATATATACTAGTAGTATACATCAGAATAGTTTGAATTTATCAGGCAGTATTCCCGGTTTTGTGTTTTCTGGTCAACACGACGACTGAAACATGAACGCAACCGATGTTACAAAGAAACCATCTAGCCAATGTCCCATAAAAATACGACTGGAGGCACGGGACAAATGTATTTTCTGGTTATACGTGGACACAGTGAAAATAATTTGACAATTCATCATGTTGTCATGAAGATAATCCGCCATATCTTAACAGCACTGACATGTAAGCATTCTACACGATATTTATTACGCCTATGTTATGGTGTTATATACAACTAGATAGCTAATGAAACAATATATACCTAATATTATAACCTTGGATGATGGTTTACGTAAATGTCTACACTGCAAATACATTGTTTAGTTCACTTTCTTTAGTTCATTGTCCAAATAGAATGGTTTCGTCATTAATGCGCGTAAGTACTTGATTTCTCTATAATTCGTTGTAAAATTTGTGTTTTCATCCAAAAATTACTAGTACTCATTTAGCAAGAGGAAAATCATTGTTGAAAAGACAGAGTGCTGAAATATTTTGTTAAGGTGATGCGGCCACTCTTAGAATTAACATTAGTTGCGTTATTATATGGAAATAGTATGGTGTGCCATCGTACATTCCAATATAATCGGAGAACAAAAGGTATAGAACAAAGAATATACAATCGACGCAAATGGGCGCCGATATCTCGTTTATAGCTAGCGAGACAGATACGTCCACTGGTTTAAATACCGTGATTACATTGAACAGTGAAACAGTGTACAGTGCCGGTGACTTTTCTACATATATATACGGTTGGATATGTTATTTCCACTTTTTCAAAACTTGGCTGACACAAATTTACTAATAACGAATTTTAATTTTAGTGATTATCAGATGCAAAAACTGCTTATTATATAAGGGATATTTAATGCACACCACTGTAATACGAGTAATTAAACCCACCCACTGAGTCTCCAGCATGTTATATTTCTATATATGTATGCATTTCGTATCGTATATTACTTGGCTGGTCAGAGTAAAAGGGAGCATGTGGGCTAAGAGGGTGTGGTCCCCAGGGGTTCGCAAGGTTGCGAAGCTCCCTCCGAACAAGTCATTGAATTGGGAGAGTGAAAACTATTCATATTGTGCTACTTACGTAGAACTTGTACTGAAGACAGATATTGTAAACATATGTATGATTATCTGCAATACTGCTCAAATTATCTTTGTACGTGCATCATTCAGTGAATATACATACCGGCAACGGCCTCTGGTAAACTGCGATCGTGTAGTGCGACTTCGTAGTTACATTGGTTTGTATACAATATATTTCACAATATATGCTTTCATGATGTACACTGTACTAAGCCCTACTGACCTTGGTGCGTGTTTAATGGCGTACATATGCATTGAAATCGATGGGTACAAAAGTCAGTGTCGCGTATTTGTATTGTAAGTTCAACCTTTCGTCCTGTGTCAACACACGTGAGATACATGTTTCTACGTCACAATCAGCACAGCGGTCGAATAATAAATGTGTTGTTATGTCTTGGTCTGATTTTATTTTGCTATCCGTAATTATTATCTGTTATACTTATTTAAGGTGTACGGTACATACGCGATTCCACGCACGTTTCTGGTTGACCCTTGAGGTAGCTTTATTATTATATTAACCCTTTGACTATTCCGCGACCGTATCAGAATGGATATTAAGTTAGATACTATGTTTTTTCATGATATTCTCTATTTGAAGCAAATATGTACAGCGACGCCGCCACTAAAACGTCGTATCCAAGATCGCTGCGGCGCGTTCTACGCTGTGTGGGGGTTGTATGCATGCCAGCCTAATGCTCACCGAGAATGCTCTAAACTCTGAATGCAGATAGAAGGTGTGGTACGAACATGAGAAAGTCATAGCAGTCACTTCCACGTGGTGAAATAACTTGCGTTTGAGAGTTTTTCAATTCATTCTAATAATGTTTTGCTCGATAAATTGATTGATTCAAAATACTGAAAGTAACGTTCACTATGTATCTTCAACAAACAGTGTATGTACAACGTATGTATGTACCATATTGTTATAATACATGAAATAAAATATTGCAAATATAAGTATTGTTATTTTGTGGCAGAGCGGGTATGAAAGGTGTATGTTATGTGTAACATGTCTGTTCGATGTGATAAAATAAATAACAAACGGTTTCGCCTTCGACTCTGACATCATCAATTTTATGATCACCGTCCGTCAGGCATACAACAAATGGTAATATTGCTCTCACAAACATGTGTTATTATTTAAATATAAAGTTTCTACATAGCTTCTGTAAAATTACTTAGTATAACAACATCTTTAAAAAAACGCCAGACAAATTAAAATGACAACGAGAACTATAAAAGACGTTCTATCTAATCAGTCAGATCAGATTGATCGGTAGTTATTTCAAAAGGGATCAATAGTTAACAATAAACAGAGTAATGTGGAGAGACAGAGTTCGTAGAGGCCATAGTTTTTCTAGTGACATTGTGTCATACTACTCGATCATACAACAGTCCGGGCATTAAGTTTGATGTGTGTACATTCTGACTACTAGTATATGGAAATTACCATTAGGGTCGTTCTGTTTTTCAAGATTCTATGTATAAATACGAGTCTTATTCACTTTAATATGTATAAATTCAGGATATAACTATATTTGGCAGTCTGTAGCTGCCAGGGGTAGCTGTTTTTGAATAAATATGGATTTAAATATGCAAGAGTTGAAATACCGCGTCGATATTGTTAAATTGTTTCTATCACCCCCCAGCCGCGACTTGCATGTAGTCCAAGCAGTATATATACAGTACGATAGAGGGCGCAACACCTTTAACGAGAATGTGATGATGTAAATATGGGTAAATTTTTTTTCAATACATAAGAATAAAAATGCTCACGTTTTTGGCATCCCTCATTCCAGTTTTGCTTCTGACGCGTAACCGCTGAATGATGCTACGTACTGAAAACATGAGGATTCCCATCCGATTCATCAAAACAGAATTACGAGAAATAAGATTTCACCCAAGAGTCATCGTAACCCGGGATTGTCGGCGGTTAGCTCAATCAACACAAATTACATACTCCCACCGTAACTCATATTTCAACCTCAATATACATGCTTAAACCAGGAAATTATTAATTTCATAATGAAAATATCTACCGGTCAGAGTAGTTTTATTCCACTGTGATTTCAAAGAAGGTTAAATACCCCGAAGATTTTTTTTTCGAATCGAGGTAAACTCGTGAACCATTTGAAGTATGTGAATTAGAGCCTAGTTCACAACCAACTGAAATACCTATTATACATGATAATGTCCACGCAATAAAATATGATGGCATTGCACAATGTCAAAAGTAAATATACTTACCGACAATAGCCTCTGCTAGACTCAAACTTCGACTACCAATCCAAACAATTCACATGTGCGTAAATGTGTATATATTCAGTGCAGTCGCCGGGTGCAAACATCAGTCACCTGATATGTACTAGTATTTCATTTGTACATTTCAAACGGCGTATTGCATATCATTATAAAAATGATCACAGCTACGTAACATGTAGACATATTCTTGGTATTTTAGTTTTTAACCACTATGTGTAGTGTAAACAACTCTACGATTTTATAAAATATGAGACTTAAGGTAGATAGCATCGTCCGCCTGCACGGTGTTGCTCCGTTCGAACATTCCTCCCTCCACAACACCGTGCGGTAATTTTATTCATAACCGTGTACGTCACGTGGTTGCGCGATAGAAAGTTTACCGACCAATAGAAAGCTTTGTTACAATGACTACCAAAAAGCGCTTAGGGCTGATGTCTTCATCTTCGGCTTCATTTCTGCCAATATATGTTGCAGTGACACCATGAGCTTTGAGGTATAACACCTACTCTTCTATAATACTCATCAACAGTGGCTCAACACTATTACCACGCTCGATGGTCGCAAGGCTGGTAAAGCATAATAACATAATGATTTACCATTTCCAGTGCGACTAAAAACGAACACATCAGACTCGGAACTAAGTACCCATAACGGCTTTTGTCCGAATATTGTATTGCCTCGACATCCAATCCAACACAGCTTCCACTGTGCGAGCATTTTCACCGCCTTGCAAACATCATGGTGAAAACAAAGGTCAAAAACTCTCAGAAAACTGTACTTTAGGATGGTTGTTGACACCCCCTGAACCGTGTAACAAGATTACCCTGCATATGCAACATATTTAAATTTGGTTGTCTAGGATTTCTTTAAAGTTAAGTTTGTGCTGTTTGTTCGATTTTAGCTATTTTCAACGGCTTTACGACCGGCGTTCCATAGCAGCTCGCGCAGAGCCTATAGAAATACATGGTAGAGTGGTGCGCGTCTTTAATAGCGTCTTGTGATTTAGCTCCGCCCCGACAATGTTGATAGCTTGGCCAAGCGCGTTGATGAAAGAAGCAATATGATTGGCTGTTGGTAAACTGATTCTAAACTGTGAGGGCATTGTCATATACACATATTCCTAATGAAATACTTCAAGGTGATAGTGGAGTGCTTTGCCGGAACCTTCACCTTGAAAATTCAAGATGGATAGATAGATACTTTTTAGCTCTAAAAATGATTATCAACCGATTTTGAAGGTTTTCTCCGTACTCACATTTAGGATCGTTGCAATCAAGAGACTTACTTACTCTCGTCTTCCCAAATTATAAATGATCACCAACGTTTAACTTTATAGATTAAAATCTGATCACATCCAATCATACTAGTAAGTCAATTCCGTCTTGACAAAATTCGATTTGCAATGAAGTTCATAGAAGCTAATACCTTCCCAAGATTAATTCCAATACAACACTTTCCCATTTTTCTAATAATTGAGAGATTTACCTAAATTAATGACAAATACAGCATAACATGCGTTTCATTTGGTTTACATAAATGTCATTGATTCACTGTAAACAATCTTCCAAACTCGAAGAGTTTGCGTACGTGACGACTTGTTTTGCCATAGAGAACGCGAAGGCAGGCCAGTTTGATGTATAATTGTGCCCTCTATCGGCCGGTATGTAACGCACAACAGTATGAAGCATTCTCAGAATGGTTGTTTCGGCATTGGTGGAGATTTTCTTCAGCTCGTTGTTGTTGTTGTGGTAGCTTACTTCTGTATTTTACACTTTTTCTTATTTTAGGACAAACACACAACGCTAGCTTAGATGACGACAGTAAGGCATGCCCCCGGACACATTTTGAAATCTAGACCCTCTGAAACTCTATTTCCTGCATTTTGCGGGCAAATTTTGCTGACACAAAGGGTTTCAGCTCCCCCTAACATTTTTTGGGCCGCCCCCTCTGCCAACCCCAGTACCGCCGCCACTGATATTGACTTCTTTTTGTTGTCTTATTTATCTACCAACTTTAGTTTCAAAGTTCTCCTTTTAAACGGGAGGTACCCAAACTTTGGCAAGAAATAATACAACATGACGCTTACTTTGTTATGCAGTTTTGCATATTTTTGCAATAAATCAGGCATGTGCTGTGGAAGGCCTGATACTAGAAAGCCGCAAATTTATGCAAGGGCTAGCGAGAGACGGAGAAAAAAAATTCCGAAAAAATTCAAAATATTAAACATTATATTGTACACTTTCTAAATCGTTTGTCAACATTTACTGTACTGTTACTTTTGATGCGTAATTTCGGTGTAATTTCATGAACCCAGCTATGGTAAACACGTCCTCCATACATTTACGTACCAGTTTGAGTGACAGACTGAAAACAAAAGGATTTAATTTGCATACTATTGTGATGACCATTCAGCTTTACAATGTCCTTTGTAATCTGACCGTTAAGTGATCGCATTCCAAGCACAGACATTCTCACTATAATATTCAGATTTCGATTTTGTTTTTTCTCATTGTCTCTTTTTTAAATATTTCTTTTACTGGGTTGACGTGGTTCACCGCTGAAACGTTTTTCTACCATATCAGTGTTTGTTCATTCACTACATACTATAGACAGTGTTGTGCTAGACCTCACTGGCAGTATTTGCATAAACAATAGGCTTTTCCGCTCCGATTCGTCTGTCTGAACGTTGACGTAATATGTGGTATCAATGTTGACACTCATTATTATTCAAGGCGCGACGTCTACGAAAAAAGGTGAACACAAAATTTTCGAATTGAGTTGTCTCTATGTTGCGTGTATACTTAAAGCGTCTATGTTGAATGATAATTTCAAAAAAAATCGTGACAGTTGCATACTATACATGTATGCATAAGCATAATCTGCGACAGAAGTCTAGCAAACGTATACTTAAATCGGAAGGGTCGTCACCTGCGCACGCGCGGGAATCGAGTCCCAAGCGACGATAACAACACACGCTAAAAACGCAAAGGTTCATAGGTAGACGCTTGTTTGTAAACAATAACACGCTATGGCCGCCTGCCGCATGCACAGGTGACGACTCCCACACTTTAAAACATTGGGCTAATAATAATTATTGTTATGGCGTTTGTATTAAAATATTGTTCGCGTTGCACATTCCATTGTGATATCTGCATAAATTCCATATGCCAGATATAGCCATATCTGTCATAATCATATCAGTTTATTGACTGTTTATATAATTATATTTGAATTACATTACATGATGTACATCCGCTGCTTTCACTAACATGAGCACGAAATATTCAACCAGTGTTCAATATTACTTCGTCGAACGCTAACCTTCTATGATCCTAACAACATCATGGGGTTCAAGTAGGATGTGAACTGATGAGGTACACGCACTAGACAATCAGCTGAACTGCCACAGTAAGTATAAGATTACGTGATAATTTATGATACAGCTTTGACTTAAATTACTGCAGAGATTGTGTCTATCTGTCGTGGATATTCTTTAAAGAGCATTCCTGAATGGAGAGAAGTTATTTCGCCAAAATGGTAACGTGAGCAGCCCTTAATTGCACGCCCGAAATCTAGATGTCTGTAATAATTCCAAAATTAATCTCAAAACTCAACTCTGTTCCACCGGTCAGTAAAATCTATTTTCATCAGCTATTTAAAATTAATGAGTTGGAATGGATTTTTTCGTTAATCTCCCCTTTGCTGCATGTCTAGATAGCATATGTTAAGAATTTCAGTGGAAACTCTCCCATAACATATTAGATACTAATTTCACACTATATCACATGACAACACCCCGATTAGTACAGTACAGTCTTTGCGGAAGAAACTATTATATAGTAAACTTGAAAATGATCTCCCAACAATCAACACTGTCAAGATCAACGTGACACATAAAGAATACATTGCAAAAACAAATAACTGGCAATTTTAATAAAAAACATGGAATATTGAATATCTGACTTTTATTATTTTGTAGCATTTCCAGCCAAATCTTTTCTATGTTTCTTTCGGAGTCTATGGCGGATGTGTTTTCGGCAAATACCTTTTCAGTAGTTTGTATATAGTACACTAGTTAGTTTCTGTTTGTTTGTTTGTTTGTTTGTTTAATTCATCATTGTAATTACACCTATTCATTTGGTTTTACAAGACTCTCAAAGATTCAAATGAATACACAACAAAATGGCAACATACAAAGTTACCTTCTTATACGCTTCTTCCGTCTTCTGTCAATACATGACGGAGAAGCATTTCATTAAAACAATTATTACATTTGAACAAAAAAAAGTATATCTGGTCTTCGATTTCTGATGAACAGAATTTACATATATAGTACGATATCCACTATGTGTGATTATTTATGGCAATTTTGAATTTAGCTTGCGATGATGGTCGCTTTCTTATGAGTGGACCATCTAATAGTTTCCTTCCGTATTCCGCTGTTCAATGTTACATACGTTCCCAACTTTATTTTCGAACAAATTCTCCGAATGGACCTAATTGTGAGTTTTATGTGACCCGACAGTCGAGCGGATCACCTACATTTCGACATACTCATTAACACGCATGCGCGTATTAAATACGTACGCGATGGCCTCTCTTTCAATGCAGATTTAATATTTCATTTTTCACATTTGGAAATAGGTTATACAGTTTTAACAAAATGTAAATCGACATCTAAGCTTCACTGTAGTATTAAGAAATTCACCGCAGCATTCTATTATTATTCATGAATAAACATTAAGATGCTCAATGCATTTTGAACTGAATTACATTTACCCCGAACCCAGTGATTTATTATGGGCGCTACAAGCCTTGCTGTTTTACCCGTCGATTAATATGATATTTTCATCTTATCATACAACCAGTTGATTGTTTAATATACCCATCAAGTTTAATAACTAGAAATAATAGGTTTTTTTCCCACGTAATTAATCGTAATCCATGGTTTTCTCGGCGAACTTCCAAACATGGAGTTCATGATTGATTTCTCTGTATACTTGATACAGAATATGTATTAAAATATAATTCACATAATTCATAGGACATAGATTTAAAATGGAATAATTATTTTTAGATGCAGATTTTAAAATATAAACATTGATAACATATACTTCTGAGGTCACGTGTTTTGTCTGAGAATTTGTGAAACTATATGTGATTAATATATTTACAACAAACATTGTGACATTTACAGGGATGAAATTCGATTTGCAATCAGTTTTCCTATTCGGCCTGAAATAACATTCTGTGGTATCGCAAAGATACAACTCCAGTCGGCGCATATACGCCATTGAGTCGCGTGGATGCACCCTCAGAGTGCGGTATAAATACACCGCTGTGATTATAATGTAACTATTTCCAGCTCCTACAGTAGGGCGCGCTACACGATTTTTCCGTATTGCAAACCACTATTACTAATTAAGGGTAGATTTCAACTCGACTCGGAGTGAATACCGATATACCTGATATACGAGGTATAGTGGACGATGATTGTGTCTAGGCTTGGCTAAAACGGCCAACCACAGAAAGCCTCTCTATCAGTCTAGTGTCGTTATGTGCCTGCTATGAGTCTCGTATCAGTATATACCTCTCATGTCTTCCTGAAACAAGCTTTTTATAAACACAATCAAACGACGTTTCACGTGACTCAAATTGCACGTTTTGATTGGTCAGTATTTCAATATGGGAATACAGCAACATGAAAATGTTGTATTAGAGATTTTACAGTAGACGCAATTTTCAGTTAAAAGCAACGAGTCGCAAAAATGACGAATCTGTCAAATTTGTAGATGATAAGATCTAAAAGAAAACACAGTAAGAGACAATGGACGTCTAAAACATGAATTTAATGAAGCGACTTCTATCGGTGACCATTTTTTTTTTAAAACAAAAGATTGCACCCAAAGGTAATATTTTACGTCCATGGTTTTAATTTACAGACTTGAACACAGTCAATATAAATATATTAAATCTGCAGTGTGAAACATAGCGGCTATTCTGCAAGAACTCTAATTAGCAATAACTTTATAGACAGCATATCCTATAAGGTGGACTTTACTGATAACGACCTGTTCACATAATTATGATTGGTAGATATATAAGGGAAAATAGTAGAAAAAAATTAAATGTTGCCACACAACGAATTCTACACTTTGCCAACTTATAATTTAGTGTTTATTTGAAATTTCTTCCTTCGGTATGGTGCACAAAGATGTTTTTCATCTGAGTCAGTTTCCGAGTCCGACTGTGGGTCGAACTGTAATACATCAATTACACCTTCGATATCATTGAGTTGGTTCTGCAGCTCGGCAATGACATTTCTGATACTATCTCCCATGTCTGAGTTACTTCCCTTAGCCAGGTGTGTTGCGGTCTTCACCAGTTGAAACACATCCCACCCAATAAACGCTGCATTTAACACAATCGCCATTTGAGTAAATAGGCGTGCGACATTGATATTTATTTTGACGAAACCCTCTGCTACCGTTAATGTAGAAGATCCAGCCTTCACGACACCTTTGGCTGTTATGCCAGTAGCAATTGGACTTGCGGTATATGCCATAAGAGTCAATATGCCTTTGGTATCTGAACTAAGCTTATATGTTGACATTAACTGAGAAATGATTTCTTCCAATCGTTCGCCATTTTTGACAATTTCATCCATAATTGCCTTGTCTTGTTTCACCAGTGCATCGGCTTCTTTGGCAGTTTTTGAATTGATAATTTTTTTGGCGATTTCTGACCCAACTGTAGTAATTGAACCAGAAGCTCCGATAGCAACTCCCGCGATAAGTAATGGGGTTCCAACACCAGCAGTTAGAATTGTTGCTATTAATCCTCCAAACGCAAGAAGACCGCCGCCAATTGCAACCCCATAACCAGCTGTTTTGGAAATATTTACTCGTTTTTGCACAGCGTCTAACTCATCTGCAAGTGCCTTTAATTTTTCAATTACCTTCTTTCTGTTAGAAATCCAGGCCTCAATATGTTGTATACGTGCCTCTGCAAATGGACTCGCTAGTTCTGCTACCTTTTCAGCAACCACCATATCAGTGTCGGTCATTTTACTTATTCTTGCTTTTAACGGCGCGGCTGTTGTCGATTGTAAATGGGTATGTTGGCCGTTTGTAGTGCCTGAATGGACAGAAAACATGTTAATGTGCATGGATTTAACACATTGACGTAATTTATGATGACTTCCATTTGAGGGAGGGATGATAGTATACATGGCCAGCTTTCAGACGATTGGTTCATTTCATGTGCGACAGTGAAAACATACTTAAAACAGAATTGTACATTGTCAAACGAAAA